GCACATGAAAAGATGCTCAACATAATTAGTCATTAGGGAAATGCAAAGTAAAAGCATGAAATACCAACACCCACTAGTATGACTAAAATTAGACATACAAAGTGTTAGGATGAAAAAAAAAAAAAAAAAAATGTAGTCACTTTGGAAAACAGTTCAGCACTTTAAGTATACAATTACTACATGACCCATGATTACTACTCCTAAAAAAAAAAAAAAAAAAATGTAGTCACTTTGGAAAACAGTTCAGCACTTTAAGTATACAATTACTACATGACCCATGATTACTACTCCTTGTATTTCCTTATGAGAAATGAAAATATATGTCCACACAAATACTTGTACGTTAAAATTCATAGAAGCTTTATTCATAATAGTTAAAAACCTGAAATCACCAGCTGAGAAGTGGATAAGTATATTGTGGTATATCCCTGAAATGTACCTGAGCAATAAAAAGAACAAACTTACTGAGATACAATGTATATATCATATGACTGCATGACCTGGATGAATCTCAAAAGCATTATGTTAACTGAAAGAGGCACAAAAGACTCTATCATCCGTTTCTGTAAAATTTTAAAAAATGTAAATCTATAGTCATTGAAATCAGATCAGTGGTTGCCTGAGCCTGGGGATGAGAACAGGTATTGACTGCAAAGGGCACAAGAGAACTTTTTGAGGTATGGAAAATATTGAAAATGTTTATACCAGTGTACATATTTGCCAAAATTTATGACACTGCGTTTTATACCTCAATAAAGCCAACTGTCAACCAATCAATCAACAAGCATAAGTTAGATCACATCATTCCCAGGCTCAAAAATCTCTAATAGCTTCCTATCATGTTTCTAATGATATCCACAACCCCTGCCTCAGCTTATACTGATGCACATGAGCTGTTTCTCAATCCCTCCAGTCTCCTCCATCCACTTCTCCTTCAATGTTTTCTCTGTCATACTGTCCTCCTTAGGGATTCTACTACAAATCAAGGATGTTCCTGCATCAGAGTATTTGCAAGTGCCATTCCCTCCGTTTGGGATATTCCTTCCCTTTTCATTGATTCCTCACTTTTTCTAGGTCTCAAACTATCAGCATATCAAAGAGTCCTTTCCTCTACATTTTTTTTTTACAATAGCACCTCCTCCACATTCTCCTTATGCTTTATTTTATTCAGAGCACCTATCATTGTCTGATATTATTTTATTTACTTACTCATTTTATTTTCCCCACTTGAATTATCTCCTTGAGAACAGGGATTTCTAAGGTCATATCTTTACCCACTAGCACAGTATCTGGCACAAAGTGGACCTCAGTGAATCCAGGTTATTCCATGAAGAATCCTGAAATCTCTACATATTTGAATCTTGTAATATAGCCAAAGCAATGCACATAGAAAGACACAGTCATAAAAACTTATATTACTGAACAAGAATGAAGCTGAATGAAACACTGAAGAAATTAAAAATAAAATGAACTAATTCTAAGGAAAACAGAAAGAAGGAACTAATAAAAATGAAGAAATAAATTAGAAAATAGGCTCAGAGTTGAAATAACAAATCCAAGAGCTATTTCTTTGGGGAAAAATAATGATGAAATAGGTAAATCACCAGCTTATTTACTCCTGAGTAAAGGGAATAAAGTTAGAAATGAAAATCAGGGAAAATAGAATAGAGAGGAATTATTTTAATCCTAAGAAAAAGATCTGTTCTATGAGGCAAATGTATTTGAAGACAAAATTGCTTTGACCCCTCCCAAACTCCTCACTTGGTTGACATCCTTTGGACCCATTGCTAATCACTAGCTCTCATGTGGCCTCATTTTGCTCTCAGGTTTCTAGAAACATCTCTGCAATATGTTAACCATGAGGGAGCTCAGAGAGGCAGCTGTTTTTGGTTAGGAGATGCACATTCTAAGCATCACAATTAGGCTGTTGAGTCAGACCATCCATGCTCTGCCAATAAATAACTGCGTGACTTTAGTACCTCCAAATCCTAGTGTCCTCATCTGTAAATGGAATAATAATGCCTGCCTCACAGGTGTGGATAAGTGAGTGATCAGGTAAAGTGTTGTGCAGAAGTGCTCATTAAATGTTACTTAGAAGTACTGTATGATATCACTAGTGGAATATAAAAAAGTTAAACCTATAAAAAACAGGGAGTAAAATGGAGGTTACCAGGGAACGAGGGATGAAGAGTAGTGGATAAAAGTGGAGATGTTTAAGGGTACAAACGTGTAATCAACAGTAAATAAGTCACAGAGAGCTAATGTACTATATAATGAATACAGACAATAATATAGTATAATAAGTAGTAAATTATATATAGTTATATCAGCAATCCCATTATAATATATAAACGTATCAAAGTAACACAATACATCTTAAACTTACATGATGTTACATATCAAACTTATTCAATAAAATTGTTAATTAAAAAGTTGAAAATGAAAGCCTAAGTGTCAACTGATATTCAGTTACATGTGTGTTCTGAGTCTGAGCAGCAAGGGTAGCCTGTGAATTCTGGGCAGGTCTGACCACTAAACCATCTAGGAGAGGTATTGGGAAGCCTGAGTCACCACACTTTCCCGGTCCCTTCACTATTCAGTCAACACTGACTAGACTGCAAACTCATCCTGGACATATTTAAGAGACATGGGACCCGGCTCAAGCTAAAGAAGTCCTCACTAGCTATGACCTCTGCTTGCTGGGGAACTTGGCCTCCACAATTTGCAGAATGCATTTACAAAGATGTTTTCTGGTGCAAGCCACACCACCACAGCCTCTTTTGAGTGGATAGGAGGAAACTCTCCCAAGAAATGTCCAGAAGGAAGGCTCCCTTAACGTTTACCCCTGGCTACCTCAGCCCACCAATCCACATGCACCTATCCTGGGCAGACCTGGGCACACAGAAGCATGGAGGCAGCAGTTAGCATCTCTCAGAACTGCACGTTTTTCATTTGTGATGGGCAGAAACTGGAGAAGACACTAAGGCATTCTGAGATTATTTCCAATCCTTTCCAAGGAGTATAAATAGCCATATCCCAAGGCAGGCTCACAGACGTCCTTGAATCCTCCAGGGCCTGAACCAGATGAAAAAGGAAAGGAAAATGCTTTTTCCATCCCAAGGACTTTGCTGCCATGAAGTTCCAAGTAGAATTGGGTTGACTGTTCTCTGATAAAGAATACAGAGTAAAATCTTCCGAAGTGACACCTGTTTGAGTGCAGTTGATCACTCTTAAACTTGAGATGCAGGTTCTCAGGGAGGTTGTTCTCATTTTTAAAATAGAAATTTAAATAAATGACAAAAGAGAAAACAGTTGCTGCAGTCCAAATCCTTCCCAAAATCCTTACCAAGGAGCCTGGGTCTGAGTAAAATGAGAATTGCAGGCTGTCAGAGGTGGAAGGAGCATCAGAAAGCATCTCCTCCATGCCTTTTATTGTATAGCAGGGAGGCTAGGGGCAGACAAGGGGCCTATGATGGGGTCCAGCAAGTCAGGGATGGGACCACAGCAAGAAATCAAGTCTCCTCACCTTCCTATGACACTTCTCAACTGCTCAGCTCCACAGGCCTATACTGACGTAGCTCAAAAACTGCAAACTGTGAATTCAAATGATCTGAACAACCTGGGAACTGTGGTACCAGATGTTCTGCTCTTGTCCAGATGTGCAACTTGTTAGAGGAAGGTCTCAGGAGATCTTGTGTGTGACAAAGTGCCTTTGTCACCTGCAAAACCCATTAACAATTCCCAGGAAATAAAAATAGAATGCAGATAATCAAGTCCAACTTTTTTTCTCCTTTGTGCTTAGTTTCACTTGCTCATGGGGTGCTGCTTGCAGAATCCTTGCACCCAGCCCTTCAGACCAGAGTTCTCAGTGCAAAAGGGCTGCACCCAACACCTCTGAGACGCTGTGCTTAGCACTGCAATCTGGAGCTGAGAGGACAGCTACACCTGACCCATCCGATCTCCACCTCCTCCCCACTGACAAAAATCCTATAGCACAGCTCTGCCAATCATCTTTCAGGGAGTGTGTGCTCTAGAGTGCAAGCTTGCACCTCTCCATCCTTCGATCAAAGAGTAAAACTCTCCTGTGTGTCTGAACCAAATTCAGTCTCGTTCAATTGGTTTGAATGATACTGGGCAAAAGGACCCCTTTGGGGGGCAATTTGGGAGGGTTGGTAAGAAAATCCTTGGCCTTTTTGCCTGTACCTACCCACTAGGTTTCAACCTGCCCCTGGCTCCAGCAGAAGGATAGTGGATGCTTTGGGAGGTTCACATGAGGATGACTGACTCTGATCTTTGGGTACACTCTGATGGGTTAGAACAATGGCAACCTTCAGCCAAATTTAGAGCAACTCTGCCCAGCAACCTAATACCTGCCTGGTTCAGGCAAAGCATAGCCCCCAGAGTCATATGGACTGTAGCCCCTGGAGGAGATCACACTATGGCATCACTGGGAACTGGAGACTGAAACTAATGCATGCCTGCCCACTGCCTCTGGGGGGCCTGCCCACAATACCAGATGCCTGGGGATGGGGCCGACCTGTGGATGAGAGGGAGCCACGGCAGTCTCACCCACTATCTTGCCAACAGTGCTGTCCTCTTGTTCCCTGTACAAGGCAGTAGTGGCCACACTAAGGCTTTTGCCCCCACTTACTGACCCCCAGGAATCAATAGTAGCGTTGTCTAGTCACTTTCCATTTAGAAAGATAGTAGTCAGTCCTGTGAGCCAAGAGGCAAGACTGGAGAAAAGAAAGGTAATAAGGACCACCTGACAAAATGGAACAAGGATATTCTATCAGATTTCAGGAAAAGGTACCAGGGTGCCCACATGTGAAAATGTTCCTCCAAGGTAGGTACAGACCCAGTAACTTGACCTCTTCCAATCAGCACTAGTTTCTCTGAAGCAGGCTGGGGAACCCTGTGAGCTGCTCGAAGAAAAGACAAGGAACCCCAACATCAGGAAGCCCTGTGAGCTTCAGGCAAGAACAGGGAACACCCATCACCTGATCTCTCCTCTCCTCTCCGCTTGTGAGGCAAACCTTAGGAGATTCTTTATCAACCGAGGTTCCTATGGGCAGTTAGCAGCTACTATAACCCTGCTAAAGGAGCTAAAAAATTAAAGTTTGGTCAGTCAGTCACTATATGGGCTCCACACCAGTTTCAGGCTTTAGTAAGTTTTAAGGGAACAGAATGGCTATCTCCTAGAAAGTCAATTCGAGTTCAGATACTTTCATTTCTAGGAAAAATGGAATGTGTGACCATTATTCCCTTGCTATTAATAACATCTGGGCCTTGCATCCTAAGCTGTCTGCTGTCCTCTGTCTCCAAGTAGCTAGAGTTTCTGAAAATTGCAAATGATGGTCACTTAGCAACGCTAACAGGACTGAGGCCTGTGACAACCAAGTACATGTAAAGGCAGCTGGAGAAGCTCTGCTCCTCCACTCAGGGTTACGACGGTGCCCCAAACCAGCTAAGCAGTTACAGAAGATGGACTGGCCACCCCTCAGTGCCCTTCTAGCCTGAGGAGAGGGATGAAAAACCAAGGAAGGATTTGTCACCAGCAAAGTCCATTCACAGTTCCCGGGAAATTAACATAGAAGAAAAGTCTAACCTTTTTTTTCTTTTTCCTTTGTGCTTGCTGTAGTTGCACTTGCCCACAGGATACAGTGCAAGAGGCCTCCCACCAGGAACTTCAGAGCAGAGTTCCCAAGGCCAAAGGGCTGTGCCTGCTCCTTACCTTGGGACCGTGTGCAGAAGCTCTGCGCTCAGCACTGCAATTCAAGATGGCTGTGGCGGCCGCGCGCTGCGTGCGGACACTGCGCTGGCGAGCTGCCCCTGCCCTGCCGGAGCCCCGCCCCGTCGCCCCGCCCCATCGCCCCGCCCAGCACGTGAACTCTATAAAGGAGCCCGGCCCACAGCCCGCCAGGGAGAAAGGGTACAAGGGGGCGAGCTTGCCTCTCTTCATTTCATGGAAAAACAGAACGTTCCTTTGTTCTGATCGGAACTTGGTCTCATTCAATAGGCTCATATGGGACCAGTCAGGAGAACNATCTCCTTGCAGTCCAAGCGACTCTCAAGAGTCTTTTCAACACCACAATTAAAAAGCATCAATTTTTCAGTGCTCAGCTTTCTTCACAGTCCAACTCTCACATCCATATGTGACCACTGGAAAAACCATAGCCTTGACTAGACGGCCCTTTGTTGGCAAAGTAATGTCTCTGCTTTTTAATATGCTATCTAGGATGACGTCTAACCAACTCAAGCAGAGACAGTCTTCAATGAGTTGAACAGAGGGGGCAATTATGACCATATTTAATAGTGTCACACTTGAAGCCCATGACCTCCACACAGTTGGAAAGAATGTTTCAGATATCACTAAACCTAGAGATTGTCCTCTTCTGCCTAGCAATCCAGGAAAACTTTCCACTAGCACAAAGTTCCACTAGCACAAAGTTCCACTAGCACAGTGCAGAACATCAAAAAGAGAGACCCAAGCCCAGACTTGGGCTTCAGTCCAGGAGATAAGAATGAAAGGAAGTGACAGAAGGACAGAGATGTTCCCACAGTAATAACAAGCAGGCATTTTTCAGAAGGTGATGTCTAACAGAAAACAAATACTTGAAATTCTAACATTTCATGGATCTGTACACCAGAAAACTCCCAAATAGGAATGGCCAGAGCTATACCTAGAAAGAATAAATTGGACATAAACTAGGAGTTGGAGGCAGAAAGACTGAGAATTATCTATAGTCAATAACCATGTCAATTACAATGAGCAATAAATTCAGCCAATATTGTAGAAGACATATTCCTAGAAAATTCCTCAATAGAGTAAGAGGAAAGCAGGTTGATAAGGTAAGGGTGCACCCGGCAACAGGTCAGGGATCTGGTTTTACTCACAATTGGCTAAGAATTCCACCATAATGGGAAGGGATCGGTGATAAAACCTCCACCACCTTGAACTTTAGTTGATCCTTCATGAGTAATGATCCTTCAATTTTAGAGTTACTTCACTGGAGATGTTTGATGAAATGCAAATTCCTAGGCCTGCCCAGACCAACCAAATCACATCAACTATTGGAATCTATTATTGTTAATAAGCAAACCAGGTGTGTCTAAGGCATCTGAGTTTTGTGTTGGCTGTCAGTGGATCCCACCTTAGAAACTTCTGCTCTTTAATGTCTGTAGTCTGTTATGTAAATAATATGGCCCATGTATTCACATGTGCTCTTACACAAATAATTGCTTTGGGGAAAGAATCATTGAATAAACTGTTTATAGTCATTACCTTTGGGGATATGAGATGAGGGCCAAACTGGGGATATGACGGCACTTTCCTTCAATCACTTCTGTTTCGGTTTTTTTTTTTTTTTCACTTTATTTATATATTACTCATATGGTAGCAGTGGTAGTTATCTGGACATGGAGTTTTGGGCCATGGTTTTGTTCTCCTCTTTTTGCATTTTTAAAAATTTTAATTAGACGGTAATTACTCTACAATATTATGATGGTTTCTGCCATACATCAACATGAATTGACCATAGGTATACATATGTCCCCTCCCTCATGAATCTCCCTCCCTCTTCCCTCCCCATTCCACCCCTCTAGGTTGTCAAAGAACACCAGCTTTGGGTTCCCTGAGTCATATGGCAAATTCCCACTGGCTATCTATTTTACAAATGATAATGTGTATGTTTCAGTGCTATTCTCTCAAACGCTATTCTCTTCTACTCGCTCCTTCCCCAATGTGTCCAAAAGTCTGTTCTTTATGTCTATGTCTCCTTTGCTGCCCTACAAGTAGGATCATCAGTACTATCTTCCTAGATTCCATATATATGCATTAATATACAATATTTGTCTTTCTCTTTCTGACTTACTTCACTCTGTATAATAGCCTCTAGGTTCATCTACCTGATTAGAACTGGCTCAAGTGTGTTCTTAGTGTTGAGTAATATTCCACTTTGTACATGTACCACAACTTCTTTATCCATTCATCTGTTGATGGACATCTAGGTTGCTTCCATGTCCTAGCTATTGTAAATAGTGCTGCTATGAACAGTGGGGTATATAAGTCTTGTTCAATTATGGTTTCCTCAGGGTATATTCCCAGCAGTGGGATTCCTGGGTCCTATAATAGTTTTATTCCTAGTTTTTAAAGTAATCTCCATACTGTTTTCCATAGTGGCTATATCAATTTGCATTCCCAATCTTCTTTAAAAGTGGTGGCAAATTTTCAATTCACTATTTCTTTATTCAAAATGTATTGAGGGCCTACTATGTGCCAGGCACTGTGCTAGGTACTTGGACTATAGTGTTTGCAAGATATATACAAAATTGAGCTTAAACCATCTGCTTTGTTGTAAAATAATCGTAATTCAAACTTTGCACATGGTCAGCTATCTATGTTTTTATTTTCACAGGTTGAAAGAGTTCCTCTGGGTTGATGAGCTGAGCCCTCAGGACCGAGAGAGGCCAGTTGACAAATGTAATCATGGCCTAGGAGCCCGGGGTACATAGCAAGTAAGAGACAACTTTGCCCACCTTGTCTTAAAGAATGGTGTGTGGAAAGGACTTATTATTTCCTGCTGTGTTGCATGTTATTCACACAGTAGAGCAGAGCCTGGAGAATTGGAGTTGCAAACTTCTGGTTCATGATAGAAGTGGGTAGAAAAATGAAATTGAGATGGGATACTGAACAACTAGCTTGAGGGGCAAGAGTCTAAATTTTTCCTTGCTTTCCCACCCAGATTGAGCATTCTTTATTTTCTTTAGAGAGAAGAACCAGGAATAGGAGGTGAATGGGACAGTTCCCATTTGCAAGAGACCCTCTCTTCTCACAGACCCTCTGCTTCTCACAGCATGCCCACTTTCAAAACCATGCATCAACTTCCTCAAAGCAGGTATTTTGTAAAATATGCATTGCATTAAAAGAAATAACTTACAAAATACTGTATGCAGAGTTCTCAGAATATACTTGTTTTAAAACTGAAATATAAGTTATGAGTTTACTGAACCCACAAAAATATCATCTTTATTACCATTACCAATGATACCCACAATTACAGCTAGTTTTTATAATAAGTACATATGTTTCATCTTATTTCACCTCCCTCGCCTTATGAGATAAATACTGTTGTCATCCCCATCTTTTAGAGGAGGAAACTGAAACACAGAGAAGTCAGACAACAGGTCCAAGAGCACTCAGGATACTATCAATCCAACAACTTGCCTCCACAATCTGCAGTCTTACCCACTCACTCTCTGTCCTTAAGTTTCTCTACAGTGATGAACCCAGACCATCCATTAATGAGTGTCCCAAAGCACAAAAGAGGGGTGGAGGGACCCACATGAAAAAAGAAAGGAAAGATCCAGTTATCAATGATCCCTGTGCCTGGCCACAGCAATCAAGCAATAGACTTCAAGCAAACATTTACAAGATAAAGCCACTCTGTAGACAATTGCTATCCTTGGGCTCCATGAGAAACCTCTGGTTGTCAATTTCTCTACTGGTCAGTTTCACAGCAGTCTAAATTTTTTTTTTTCCCTACAGCCACAGGACTGCCCCCTTTTCCATCTCAAATCTCTTTCTCTCCCCTACTCTCTTCTTCATTCTTCCTATTCACAAAGATAAAAAAATACAGGTCAGTGAAAGTTTGGAAGAGAACTTAACATTGTAGATTTAACTTTTCAAGTCAAATGTCCCTTTTGCCAGAAATTTTTACCTTTTAATCCAGCACTTCACAAATTTTATTTTATGAAACACTGTTCCAATAGATATTAATAGATATATCTTAGGGTGGCCCATGGTCAAATAAGCTTAGGAAATAAGGCATGCCAAGTCTTCCTCTTGGAGCTATGTTATAAGCATAATAAGACTGAGAAGTCAAGCAGTAAAGAAAGCTGTTTAACTTAAATATGACAATTAATTTAACTATTTTGGGTGCCTACGATGTGCTAGTCTCTATTTTGATACAGGAAAAATACAACCCTAAACAAGACAAAGTCCCTCTTTCTATGGATCTTTGATTACACTAAATGTAACAATTGTGCGCTAAACATTTTTTGTGATGTATTAATACCTTGGAAAATGTGTTCCATTGGTCACAAACTTTGTAAACACCTATCTAGAGACATAAAATTGTTGTTTAATTGCTAAGTCATGTCCAACTCTTTTGTGAGGCCATGGACTGTAGCCCACCAGACTCATCTGTACACGGGATTTCCCAGGCAAGAATACTGGAATGGGTTGCCATTTCCTTCTCTAGATGATCTTCTCAACCCAGGGATTGAACTCATGTCTCCTGCTTGGCAGGCAGTATCTTTACCACTGAGTAACCTGGGAAGCCCCCATCTGCAGACATATAGTATTTATGTAACTTGAGTTTTACTCTCACCTACTGATGCCCAAATAGAAAAGGATATCCATAAATTTAAGAGATACCCTTGGTTCTGTATTTATACAGAAGATTTTTATGTGCTTATGGAGAAGTGCTATATTTCACAAAATTCAAAGATGAAAATAAAAATGAAATTTTTTTTTAAAAAATAAAAATTGTCAAATAAGAACTCACTGAAGGAAAATCTTCAGATTAAGGGAAAAAATCACATTTTGTAGACTTGCTTCATTTGTCTGCGGAGACGTCTTACATAAGCCTTTTTTCTAAACATATCTATTGGACTAGACAGGTTATTCAGTTCTTGTACCATGATTCCCACACGTATTATAGGGCTGATAACATTTTCTAGGTCGAATAATAAATACTTTCTACTACTCTGCTACTCTGTTCTGATTGTCAAGAATTAGTAAGTCTGGGACTTTGGGCAGGGGAGGTGGACATATGAGTGAATTGTCTTTGGCAAGCAAACATAAAGAAGAGTCAACGTGGGAATAGCCACAATGGGAAAAGCCACAATGGGAATGGCCACAAAGGACTAACAATCAATTAGCAGGACAGAAAACACACTTTTCACCCCATCTGATGGTAACTGATGTGCAGACCCCACAGCCCCAGGCTAGGATCCCCCAGTTCTCCAATGAGGGACAAGCAAGGGATTTTCATAGTTGAACTTGCTTTTAAGAATGATACTTCACCATCTCCTTCAGAAGAGGGATAAAGAGAACCTTAACTAGAGCAGTCAATGAAAACAAAAGTGTCAGAAAACAGGCAGGAGGCATTTTAGAAATTCAATTAATGGATTTGTCCGCTAAAGGAAGTTCCCAGAGACCCCCATGTTTGTGGCAGCATTCATTCAGTTTAGAATGCACACACACATAACTCTTCACTGTCCAGCAAATATTTCTTTCAGTAAACTCCCAGACACCCAAGTCTCTAGGATGAAATATTCACTTTTGTATCATAGTCTCCTGCATCCTAAATACCTGTTCTAACCTGATTCATTCAGTCTTAGCCAGATTTCCATCACCCTCATAGCACTCACTCTTATCAGGTTGGTCAACTGATACTTTCTCCAAAGTTTAATTAGAATACAAAAAAAAGAAAAACCAGGAAAATCATAACAGACAAATACAGCAGTTGAGTTTTGGGTCCATTAATTCTGTTAGTCATTCAAAAATACATACAGTTGACCCTCAGACAGTGTGGGAGTTAGGGGTACCAACCCTTCATGCAGTAGAAAATTTGCATATAACTTATAGCTGGCCTTCCATACATGTGGTTCTTCCATATTCACTCCACCAACTGAAGATTGTGTAGTACTGTAGGAAAAAGTTTGTGTGTGCATGGACCCAGGAAGTCAAACCCATGTTGTTCAAAGTTTAACTAAATGGGGCACCTGTTAGCAGCTAGATATTTTGCCAGGTGCTGGGCATTCAGTGGTGGGTTAGAGAGATGAGATTCCTCTCTCATGAAGCTTACAGTGAGGGGAAGACAGACATTAAACAAATGAACAAATGAGACAATTTCAGAAAGTGAGAAATACTCTGAAGTTCATCAAACAAGGAGAAGTGAAGCAAAGAGACTAGATGGGAACATTCCCACTTCAGAAAGGAGGGTGGTCTGCAGGCAGCAGGACCAGCAGGTGCACAGGCTCTGGGAAGAGCTTACTTAGCTCTTACATGACAAGCTTAGCTTGCTTACATGACAGACAGAAGGGCAGCGAGCCAGACCACAGATGAGCTGGCTCAAGAGCAGCTTGGAGAGGTGTGCAGAGGCTGGATCATGCAGGACCTTGAAGGCCATGGTGAGACTCAAGTTCAAATTGTCTCCTAAATCCTGTGGGATGCCATGGGAGGATTTTTAAGGAAGGATAGGTTATAATCTGTCTTCTGTTTCAAAAGATGATTGTGATTTCCATGAGGAGAGGGATGGTAGGACTGCAACGATGAAATGTAAAAGTAGTTGCAAGTCTATTTTTTAAAATTCTCTCATAATTCTGTAGCAAGATGAATGTTGCCCTTAAAGTGAATTAATTTATTAAGTGAAAAAAATGGTCAAAAAGCTTATTCCGGTTTTTACACACTACCTTACAGAAAAACCGGAACAAACTTTCAGCCAACCCAATATTAATACTGGTAAATGTTTTAAAACATATACATTCACATACACACATTCAAAAACATAACACAACTTTACCTGTAAAGAGTAAAAACAACTCTATTTGCTCCAAAGTGCACTTTCTTATGTATTGGTAGATCTGACAAAAGGCATCATTAGCTACCTTTTCCCTTGGATCTTTCATGAATACTTCACTGGTAATTGGTTAGGTCCCTTCACAACGGGAAGAGGATTACCCAGCATGACATTCATTGCTGTCAGCAACACACAGCAATTGCTGATGTTGAAGAGATAAATGTGGTGAAAATTGTTCTCACCACTGCCTATCTCTGAGAGGTGGCTGGGCCATCCCATCTGTGAGGGGAAGAAAGACTTGGAAAATCAGTGTGGCCATTAGGAGACCTTAAAGAAGTCTAAGGCCACTGTGAGGAGACCAGAAACTTGTATCTTCCAGATGTCATTAATTGTCCTAAATATCAGGGATTGCCCCTGTTCTTTACATCAGGAAAATAGCAATTACAGAAGCTATGAGGGTAAATATACTATTTCTTCCAAGAATTTACAGGCACTCCAAACTAAGGCTTGCTTAGTGTAGGTTCTTTCAGACCCTGCTTGAATGACTAAAAGAGCACATTTAATAAATTCTTTGATTGATTACATTATTTCCTCACTCTTTTCCAAATAAGAATTTGAAGTGGCTTCTAGTGTTTTGTTTAAATGGAAAAAAATAGTGCTTCACACATCACAGGGTTGGATCATTTTAAGGTGGTTCAGCTATTTCTTCTTGATTCCTTTCATTTTTTTCACAAGCTTGGTCATTCTTCAGAAACAATATAAAAGAAAACTTCAGCACTAATTGTGGTATAAGTTCACTCTAATCCTGAACTTTCTGAATTCAAATGAATGAGTGTGAACATTATTTACAGTGGTATGGTTACATATAGCTCCCATAAATTAGAGGTTTAGAATTTCAGGAGGATGTTTACTAAGCATTAACTAAATATGTTGAGACTGGCATATAATCCAGGAGGAAAAAGAAAGTGAAAGTGTTATTCACTCAGTCGTGTCCAATTCTTTTCGATCCCATGGACTGTAGCCTGCCAGACTTCTCTGTCTGTGGGATTTCCCAGGCAGAATACTGGAGTGGGTTGCCATTTCCTTCTCCAAGGGATCTTCCCAACCCAGAGATTGAACACGGGTCTCCTGCATTGCAGACAGATTCTTTACCATCTGAGCCACCAGGAAAGCCCCAATCCAGGAAGAAAGACCTACCCAGATACCTAAAGGCCAAATTCTCCATTGAGATGGACAGCCATGGTCAGAAAGAGAAGTTCCCTGGGACTCTACAGCGTTCTTGGATACCATGGAGGGGAGAAGGATCTTGAGATTCGACGTCCTTCTCTCATGAATGGGGAAACTGAAATCGAGGTAGCAGAACCCTTTCCAATGGTCACATAGGCTGAGTGATACAAATAGGCCCAGGATTTCCTGAATCCTGGGTGATTTCATGGTGCTGCCTTTTTTCATGATTTCTCAGATTTCACACCCCAGGTGCATTTAGAGCTGGCTCATCTTTAGGGAAGGTTGGACCCTCTAGGGATCCTATGAACAGATATGACAAGAGACAATTACAGCCCTAAGGCATACAAGAGACCCAACCAGATAGCCAGAGATAATAGGAAGTTTGCGACTCCAATCAGGGCCCCCAGTGGCCACAGATCCACCTGGTACTCCTGCGGTCTTGCCCGTCACACAGTTCACTGATCCCAGGGTAGATAAGGTGCAACCCGGGAAAATGGAAGAAGACTCAAGGAAGACTCAAGTCCCTCTGTGGGGACTGCAGACGTGTTTACTCGCTCCAGGCAGCAGCAACTGGGAGTCTTCAAAGACTTCTGATATACTAAGACAGACAAAAGGGGCCCATGGCCAAGTGGGCGCACAGGCGCAGTGCTACCAAGGTCAGCAATATCACTGTTTACAAAACATAAGAAGTTATGAGGCTGTGAGAGTGTGGGGCAGGAGAGCCTGACTGATGCCGTGTTGTCAGTTAATTTCTTCACACCTGTGTTATCACAACTCGCCATTACCACTTGCAAAGACTCCCTGTGGGTGCAATACTGCACTGAACACCTCTCATACATGACTTAACTTTGAACTTTACAGAAATCCTACAAGGTCAGGCAGGTTAAGAGATAGGCTCCAGAGACAAGGCAGCCTGCATTTGAATCCCATTTGCCCTGCTTAATATCTCTGTGAGTTTTCCCCGCACATCTCAGTTGCCTCTCTGTAAAATGGGAATAATAATGTTCCTAATTTTAGACAGCCATCATGACAAGTAAATGAGTAAGTTCATGTCCAGTACTTAGGAAAGTGCCTGACACATAGTAAGTGCTCCATCACCACTGCTATTATTATCGTCTCTTTTTACAGATGAGGGAATTGAGGCTAACAGAGAACAACAAGTTCAAAATAGCACAGTAAGTAGAAGAAATAGCATCTGAGCTCCAGACTATATCACTCTAAAGGCTGTGTTATTAACCATGTTTCTAGACCATTTCCCTCTGGGGAGACTCAAATGTAATTTGTACTCTGGGCCCCATAGGTTGTCAATCCACAGAACACCAGTTCTCTACAACCAGCAGGGAGTCAATCCGAAGACATCAGAGCTACCTTCCTCACCTGGCCCAGCCAAACTTTTCAACCTCTTCCCAGCCCCTCCTTCCCTCATCATTTATGAGTCCTTGATCTACCTTCACTGGTATCACCTACCTTGGATCAGCAAGTACGGACACTTCATACATGTTGATTAAATTGAATCAAACAATTAGCCTTCCTTCATCCATAGAGCAACCTTTGAAAACTAAAGGAAAGATCATGATTTCACTGGGACTCATGTTCCTATAAATAATTAGAATATTCATGCAGTTAGTTATTAAAGAATTCCCTGAAATCAGGGCTTTTCACACTTTAGTGGGCATTGGAATCACCTGCAGTGCTTGTTAAACCCAATTACTGGGCCCCACCCTGGAGTTTCCTACTTGATAGGTCTGGAGTGGGACTTGCTAATTTGCATTTCCAACAAGTTCTCAGGTGATGCCCATGCTGCTGAAATAAAAGATCACCATTAGAACAGCACCACCACCAGGGTAATGATTGCTGCAGGCAAGATCACTGATAGATGCTAATATTAGTGAGCAAAGCATTAAAGAAAAATAGGATATTTGTACAGTCTCAAAGTGTCTCCAACAAGTATTTATTCACTATGGAGGTGGTTTTTATACTTGTTCACCAATTGTTTGCTTGTTCTCCCTCCAGGAATGGAGTTTAATCCCCCTCCCCTGAATGTGGGCTGGATTTAGTGACTTGCTTCTAACAAATAGAGTGTGGGACATGGGACAAGCAGTATAGTAACTTCATAATGGGAAAACCTGGCAGATGCCACCCTCACCAAGTGGTCAAGACTAAACCAGAAATAAGTCACATTGATACCATGTACCTTCTAACATGTTGTGATAAGGGTACTTCACCTTTATGATAGTCTCCCCCAAAATCCATAGCCTCAGTCTAATCAAGAGAAAACATGAGGCCAATCGAAATTAAGAAATATTCTACAAAATAACTGGGCAACTCCTTTTTAGGTTTTCCCTGGTGGCTCAGTTGGTAAAGAGTCTGCCTGCAATGCAGGAGACCTGAGTTCAATCCCCAGGTTGGGAACATCCTCTGAAGAAGGAAATGGCAACCCATTCCAGTATTCTTGCCTGGAGAATTCTATGGACAGGGTAGCCTAGTGGGCTACAGTCCATGGGGTCAAAAACAGTGGGAAACAACCGAGTGACTAACAATTTTTCTTCACTTTCCTAAGTTTTAAAGTCAAAGAGGAAAGACCAAATGAATGTCACATATTAAAAGAAAATAGGAGATATGGTAACCAATATAATACAGTATCCCAAATTGATCTTGAAAGAGAAAAAGGAAATTAGTAACTTTTAAAAAACTGGTAAAATCCAAATAAAGCCTGTAGTTTAGTTAATAGTAGGTCTGCTTCTCAGTTTAGATAAATGTACCACAGTCATGTAAGATGTTGACACTGGGGCAGGACTGGCTACATAATTTCATGGGTATAGGCAAAGCTATGGTTTTTCCAGTTGTCATGTATGGATATGAGAGTTGAAATATACAAAAGACTGAGCACCGAAGAAATGATGTTTTCCAACTGTGGTGCTGGAGAAAACTCTCAAGAGTCCTTTGGACAGCAAGGAGATCAAACCAGTAAATCATAAAGGAAATCAACCCTGAATATTCACAGGAAGGACTGATGCTGATGTGAAGAGCTAACTCATTGGAAAAGACCCTGATTCTAGGAAAGATTGAGGTTAGAAGAAGGGGGCAACAGAGAATGAGATGGCTAGATGACGTCACCTACTCAATGGACATGAGTTTGAGCAGACTCCAGGAGATAGTGAAGGACAGGAAAGCCTGGTGTGCTGCAGTAGATGGAGTCACAAAGAGTCAGACATGACTAAGCAACTAACTGAACAAAAGTGTAAAATGAAACTCTGGGGCCACTTGTTCAAAATTTAAAAGATTTCAAGACAACAACAGAGAAGAAAACCAGGCACAGGCCATTCTGAACATGGGGTGCAGTGAGACCACACAGGTTGTATGCCATGAAGTCTGCCCTGAGTTTAGAGGAAGCAAGGTGTGAAGCATATGGTCAGGACTTTAGCTGAGCTGAGAGACAGCACTGAGCTGTCAGGCATCTGAGTAGCTGATTAAAGCAACAAGCTTTAAGAAAGGGTTAAGCCTTTAATCACTTACTCTGATGATATAAGAGAAAATGTTGACTCCCCCTGCAACCATGCCCAGGTTGAAGGTCAGGTGAATCAGTGTGGATATGGCGTTCATCTCACTGTTGAGGGAGCCCCAAGGAACAAAAGGCCCCAGCAGTGGGAGGTGAGAAAAGTTCAGAGTAGAAAAGAACTAGCGGAGGGTGGGTACAGAGTCAGAGTGGGGAAAGATTCTTTAAGTTTTTCCCCCTTCTCCCAGATAAAGAACATTTAGCAGAAGTTTCTGAAAAATACCTCAACCAAAGCCTTGGATAAAAGGAAGGAAGGTGTCTGGGCTAGGAATGTAAGTATGAGAAAGATCTCCACCATGACTAGTGGAAGGAGGGGGTCTGAGGCCCTGATTGCAGCTCCCTTCAGATGGCTGTGCACCTGTGGGCAGGAAGTATGGTTAGGGCAGTGCCCCTCACAACCCCCATGAGGCTTGCCACATGATGCCTTTGTGTTAACCTATGGTTGGGCCTGAAACATCACATGTAGGTTTTTAACCAGAAGCTGGACTCGTCATTTTTTTGTACTATGTTTGCAAGTCTTCTATAAATCTATAATTATTTCAAAATAAAACTTTTTTTAAAAAGGACTCTCTCACCATTCTCCCTTTCTTTCGTCTCCCAGACCTACTAGCCATTTTGTCTGTAACTGAGACTAATAAACTAAGTTTCTAAGAGCTAGTTTCTTTGTCCTCTCCACAGGTCTTAGACATGATTCACTGAGGCTGCACCAGGGACCTCTGAAGACCTGGATCATGGTCTACTTTGCCCCTCCTCCTCTCCGCACCAATAGGCCTCTTTCCCAAATGCAAATTTTCAGCCTGTGGGAATAGATGCCTATGAATCAGCTGCCCTATCCCGACATACCTGAACCTGGATGGATTGAGCACCACCCACAAGTCCTCTGCCAGGTGTTCACTGAGTGGACTGCCCTTGCTTCTCTCCACTTAAATTTCTTTCTCCATCTCTGACATCTCCACTAAGTTCTCGCAAATACCTCAATGTAGTATACACTGCTGCTTCATGTTCAATATGTCCAGAAAGGTATTTAACCCATCACTACCCATGCAAAAAATAAAAAAACAAAAAACTGCTTTCCTCCTAACATCTGACTTTTTTTTTTTTTTTTGACTAACATCTGACTTTTAATGACAATTTTGTGTTTTTAATCACCTGGGGATTAGAACCTTAGCTACATTTTGAGTTCACCCCATTTCCTACCACATTCCATCAGTTATTCAGTAGTTTCTACCTCATCAATATGTCTCATCAGTTAAAGCCCCACCTATGCCACAGGTTTTAATATCTTTTTTCCTGGCTTATTACAATAGTTTCATTACTCATTCTATTGTCAAACCTATGTGTTATACCTTTTGCAGGCATGCCCTTTCTTACCTCTGAGCCTGTTCAGACTATCCCTGTTCACACTCTTCCCATCCTCCAGCCATTAAGCTAGGTAGTTCTCATTCAGCCTGTATGTGTTTGTTGATCATCACTTTCTTCCCTGATCCTTCCCAGGCCTGGGTTAGATGACACCCTCAGCCCCTGGGTTTGCCCGAACACACTGTACTGGTTTGTTTGTCCCTTGCTTTAGGCATGAAGCATGACAGCAGGGACCATGACGTGATTATAGCCTTAGCAGCCAACATGAAGTGTGATACACAGTCTTAGTTAAAACTTACTTTAAAAAAAATCTTATTGACTGAAAGTATGAATGCTGGGCACTGTCCTAGGACTGGGGGTTATAAAGAATAAACCTTAGTTCTTCTTTTCAAAGATTTCACACTCAAGTAGAAGACAAAAAAAGTACAAGTACTTACTGAGTGCTTTATAAGTTAGGTACAATATTATCCCCATTTTACAAGGGAAAATTGAAATGGAAAGTTTAACTGCCCAGTTTAACAAGTGGCAGACTAGGAATTTATTACAATCGAGAAGAGGAAACAATCCAAATGTCTGTCAATAGAACCATACATGAACAAACTGTAATCATTCATACAATAGAATTCCACTCAGCAACTAAAAGCAGTAAGTTACTGATACAACAGCATGGGTGAATCTCAAAAACCTCCTGCTGAGCAAAAGAAGCCAGACACAAAAAGAGTAGATGCAATATGATTCCACTTATATAAAACTTCAGAAAAAAACATAAATCTAATATGTGGTATAAGAACACAGATCAGTATTTGCCTTGGGCTAGGGAAAAACATGGATATTGACTAGCAAAACATTCAAGGGAATTTGAGGCTGATGGTAATGTTCAGTATGTAGTTATATAGGTACATATATTTGTCAAAAATCACTACCGTATACCCTGAAAAGTAGTGAATTTTACTGGATGTAAACTATATCTACACAGTTTATATAACTTTTTTTAAAAGTAAAAGTAAAAACTCAGTCAAATTTCAGAATCCTTGTTTTTAACCACTATGCCACCTAACAAATATGACGTTTACACATTCGTAGAGACTGTATCAAGCATCATGAAACATAAAACTTTGGTTTCTACCAAAATAGTTGACTATTTTCCCCCCTTCCCACCAAAATTAACACTGAAAAAAAAAGAATAAAAGCAAGAGGAAAATATAAGTGTCAGAAATCAACAGCAGTAATAATAACCAAATGTGAGCCCTCCGGGGACAGGGTCTGGATTTTGTGCGTCAGGAGGTGGGTAGCTACAGCTTGAAACTGACAATACCCAGGGATGGTGTCCCCCCAGTGTATGGGAGGAAGGTTCTGACATTTTGCTCTCACCTCCCTGCTGTACTGCCTTGGACAAACCATCACCTATTCCTTCACAGTCCAGCCGAGTCAACACCTAACGGTATAGCAGAAAAGTCCTTTGGGAGCAGGAACAAGCAAAGAGCTGATAAATTAAAACAACACTGAGATCCTACTACACGTTTATTAGAGTAACCAAAATCCAGAACAATGACAACACCAAATGCTAGTGAGGATGTGGAGCAAAAGGAACTTTCATACACTCCTGGTGGGACTGCAAAATGGTACAGCCAATTTGGGAGACAGTTTGGCAGTTTCTTAACAAACTAAACACCCTCTTACCATGTGATCCAGCAATCACATTCCTTGGCATTGATCCAAAAAAGTCAAAAACTGATGTCCACACAAAAACCTGAACGCAAATGTGTATAGCAGCTTTATTCATAATTGCCAAAAATTTGGAAGCCAGCTAGATACCTTCATTAGGTGAATGGATAAATACACTGCAGTACACCCAGATGATGAACTATTATTCAGCACTAAAATGTCCTTCAGCGCAGAACTTTAGATACGTATGACTAAGTGGAAGAAGCCAACGTGAAAAGCTACTAGGGCTTCCCTGGCGGCTCAGTAGTAAAGAATCTGCCTGCCAATTCAGGAGACTCAGGTTCAATCCCTCCAGGAGGATCCCACATGCCACAGAGCAACTGAGCACGTGCACCAGAACTATTGAGCCTCTGCTCTGGAGCCTGGGAGCTGCAACTGCTGAGGCCCATGCACCTAGAGCCCATCCTCTGCAACAAGAGAAGCCACTGCAATGAGAAGACCGAACACCACAACTAGAGGAAAGTCCACACAGCAGTGAAGACCCAGCATAGCCAAAAATAAATAGATAATAAAATTAATTTTTAGAAAGCTACATATTGTATAATTCCAACTCTGTGACCTTCTGGAAAAGGTGAAACTATGGAGACAGTAAAAAGATTAATGGTTGCCAAGAGTAGGTGGGGAAAGGAAAAGAAGAAATTGGCAGAGCACAAAGCATTTTTATGGCATGAAGAATATTCTGTATGATATTATAATGATGGATATATGTCATTACACATTTGCCCAAACCCATAAAATATACAAGACCAAGAGTAAACCCTAAGGTAAACTATGGGTTTGGGGTAATTATGGTGTGTCAATGCAGTTTCATCCTGGTGAGAGATGCTGGTAATGGGGGAATATGTATAGGTGTAGGGGCAGAAGGTATATGGGAAATCCCAGTATCTTCCTCTCAATTTTATGGTGAACCTAAAAAAAATTATCTTTAAAAAAAGTTGATGAAAATGAGTTGGATCTGCTCTGCACCCCCTTTCCCAAACCCAGATCAGACACAACCCACAAAGGCCACCCTCTCCCCATGCCAATTCACCTTGCAGGTTTAAAGTGGAACTCCAGTTGTGGGACCTGAGGGACCTTGGGATTTCTGCCCTCAGACTCATCTGTTCCCCTCTCCTTAAACCCATGGAGACAGTCACCTGAATGTGACCTCTTTCCCCAACACACCTTACCAAACAACTGATTGATAGCCTCAGGGAAACATGACTTCATAAATGAAAAGAACTAGATTTGAGGATATAATTACTATGAAGAAAGGCAACATACAGAACAACACCTGAAGCAGAACTACTGAAACAAGCCTTCCAAAAATGTAAAATAAGCATGAAGATATGAAGGGAAAATATTAGCCGTAGGAAGCAAAGACAAGAAACTGACAAGATCCCAAGCAGAAATGTTAGTATCAATACTAAAGCCAAAGTAAATAACACAGTCAATGGAATAAATGGCAAGATGAATTTGAAGAAAAATGAATTAGCGAATTAGAAGAGCAGACTGAGGAAATGATGGAAAATATAAAAGAAAAGCTAAAAGATGCTTCTGGATGTGAAAAGATAGACTCGATACTAAAAATAGAATAGAATAAGGGGAATATAGGAGTACCAGGGAGATAGGCAGAAAAAGCTGAAAGAGTGAAGAGCAGAGAAACCCACGAAAATCTTCATAAAGAGAAGTCTTGAGATGAGACAAAAAGAAGGGTAGAAGTTTGCCAGATGAGTATGGAAAGGAAAAACATTTCAGGCAGAGAGAAACAACGCAGGTAAACGCATGGAGGCATGAATACAAATGATCACTTGGATAGGATCTAACAGGTAGTCTGGTGTGTCTGGAGCAAAGGCTATTTGAAGGAACGTAAAGAAGGTTAATGTTGCAAGGCAAGCAAGAATCAGGTCAGGAAAGCTCTTGGGAGATCTGTAGCATAATTATACCTCATCTTAAATACCAGGAAACTAAGTCAAGCTCGGATAGTTGAGTGAGTTGCCCCAGGTCAGACTCCAACCGCCAGGCTCAGACCAGGTCACTGCCTTACACTCAGTGGTGTCTCTGAGTTTGCTTGTAGCTTGGATGTCTCGGGGTTCTGCAAAGTCAATTAGAATTTTTTCTTAAATAAATGAATTTGGGAAGTAGAGGAGTTGTGCATCCAAGGTTAGATGCGTTGTTCTGAAGTTTCAGAGTGTCCAGTTGACAATTATTAGTTCAGGGTTAAAAGTAAGAAGATCAAGACAGTTAATCCAAATTCGGATATTCCCAGCATATGGAGGTAGATGGGAGTGGGTAGAGTTGCAACAATAATGCCGCTGGTGACCTCGGCAAACATTTCCTCAGGACAGAAACATCTTACTAGAGAAGTAGGACATCACTAGCCAAGTGAGGAAAACTGAAAGGCCCACAGTCACACCGGCTTGGTGCTTTCTCCGTTAGTCAGATCTCAGCTCAGCTGTAGCATCTTCTGCCAGCCAGACACTGCCAGCCCGTCAGATAATTCTGATTGGGATCTGAGTGCAGTGCAGTGCTCAGTCATGACCGAATCTTTGTGACCCCATGGACTGTAGCCTGCCATGCTCCTCTGTCCATGGAATTTTCCAGGCAAGAACACTGGAGTGGGTTGCCATTTCCTATTCCAGGGGATCTTCCTGACCTAGGGATCAAACACACATCTCCTTCATCTCTTACATTGTCAGGCAGATTCTTTACCACTGCACCAGTAAACCTGGGAAGTGAAACTAACCATCCTCAGATGTATATTGTCCAAAGTCTGACTTCTTCTAAGTGACACCCAATTCTGGGATCCAAGAATACAGGAACACTATGGTTGCTTGGGAAACCCAAATTGGGGAGATGTATCTCTGAATGCCAGGTACCCAGAAACATATCCTTTTATCCAGAAGGAAAATAATATTACTTTTATCTTGTAGATAAAGAAACCAAATCTGAGATAAGTTAAGTGACTTGCCCAAGATCATTCAGCAAAGAGGTAAAACTGGGATCCA